ATCTTGAAGCCCTGTGTAGCTGGAAGCCATAGTAGATGCAATTCGCTTGAATTAATGCAGACATCCAGTGTAGAAGTCATTTCTTTGTTTTGAGATGTATTGAATGAGTTGTGTTTTTTAATAGGCTTGGCTTTGGGTTTAGTTATCCGTCTAATCTTTATATGTGGTGTCGAACAAAATCCGACTCCCTTTTTATTCTCTGCACTCCAATGCGTATATAGGGATTCCCTGTTGATTTTGGTAGATGAGGTTGACCCATGATAATTATTTGAGTACACAGAAGGAACACTTATGCATTTGATAGGGAGAACCATATGCAGGAGAACCTCTGTGCACCTATGAATACACATAATTTCTGGGTGAGGATGAAGGCTAACTCACTAAATAATATGACCAAGCCTTTTATCTGGAAGGGATTATTATACTCTGGTCCAGCTTGCATGCAGTGGCTCTAAGGTATTCAGAAAACTTGCTTGGTATTGGCTTGCTTGGAACATCATGTGTACAAAATCTGTGAAACTTTATATTGAGGATTTAATCAAGAGGCCTGTAGATCCCAAGTGAATTTTCTATTATTTTTCTCATATTTTTCTCTCTAAGTACCATGTGTTTTCTAGTGCCTGGGAAATTGACTTCTGGGTGGATTTTTCTTTAAGATAGACTGTGCAGAAAATGCAGCTTTCTGTGCAGAAAATGCAGACTGAACTGCAAATAGTCTTCAAAATCCACTTCTTTTCTGTGTCATGTCTGATTTTCTTTAAGAATGCTAATCACAGATATTCCATATAAAATCTAAGCATCAGAAGAATGTTTTCAATTTTTAAGAAGAACTGCTCAACACCACAATGTAATAAGGACCACTGGCCAATCACATACCATGGTTGTTCCATAGTTGTTTGTTTATATAATGTTTGTGTTCACATGTAGGAAAATAGGACACATGAATTAGTACTCCATTTCCCTATCCTTCTGTGCAGCCCAAAATGGGAATAAACATGGATTCATTTTCGGTTTAGCCAATAGCCATCCCTGGCTTCCATTATACAATACATAAAAACTAAGCAATGTGATTTAAAATGATGTCTCCTTTTGGTATGCAAATTTTCACATTTCATTCTGGCATGCAAGGAGATTCTGAAACCTTAAAGAGCCACGACAAGTCAATATAGACCATATTGGGTTAGATCAGTGGTTCTCAACCTGGGGTCCCCAGATGTTTTTGGCCTTCAACTCCCAGAAATCCTAACAGTTCGTAAAGTGGCTGGGATTTCTGGGAGTTGTAGGCCAAAAACATCTGGGGACTCCAGGTTGAGAACCACTGGGTTAGATGAATCAATGATATGACTTGTTACAAGGAAGCTTCCCGTGTTCCAGAAACAAAGTGCCTCACATGTGAAATATAACCATGACCTTAACCTTAAAGGCCTCACTCAAAATAATAATAACAATAACGAACACTTGAGAAGGCCATGGCCAATTCCATTCATTTCAATGAGCCCTAGGCAACTGACATTTTGGGCTGGGGCCAATGGCTGCAATCTTGTGTTCCATATGTTTGCACATAGTCTCACTGAACTAAGTGGGCTCAGGTTATGTCATTATAATTAGGTCCATTCATAACCAAATGGTGTAACTTACCAACTCGTATTGCTACACAACCTTCAGTCATTTCAGTGGAACCAGATGAAGCTTTTTGCAAGTTCCCACAGAAATGAATGGAGGTAGGTTCATGCTTACTGTGTTGCTCCCAAACATAGCAAAGCATCATATCGGAGAGGCAATGCATGGAATTTCCCCACCGTTTAAATGAACAACATTTTTCATAAAATACATATCACTTAAATGCATCTGGAAAAGATTTGCAAACACCACACATTAGGCACTTAACGTTAACCACTATCAAGAAAACTTAGTACATGGTGTGCCACCAGCACTTCAGTGCATATTATTCTGGAAGGAATTCTCCCCATTAAATCTACAATGGAACATCTTAATGTGCTCCCCCTTTTTTTCTTTATTTTTTAAAGCTAGGAGTTAATTCTCTTTCCTTCCATTTGATGGATAGAAAGGGGTGGATCTCCTCAGGGCTTGCTTGTTCAACTTCTAAGGCTAGGTTCCAGGGCCTGGCCTACAGAAGCATTTTACTGCTTGTGGGACGGAATTCCTTATGTTTGGCTTTCTAGAGCTGATTGTTCTGTGAAGTGTTTATATTTTAATCCTCATCAGAATTTCCCATCATGATTTTGAAGATTTTAATTTGTTTTTTGAGAGCTGAATTTGGCCAATTTGGTTTTGAGAGCCAAATTGCTTCTTCTACATACATATCAGTTTCTGAATTAAATTAAACACAGCAGAAATCCAGTGAGCAATAGACCCTTGGATTTTCACCAATAATTTCTAGTTCGGTCATAAGGTTAGATCAAACCTGATGATGATTTAAGTCAAGTAGGAACATAGCTGAAGTATGTATCTTATCTTTAAAATCCAGACAAACCAAATACCAAGTGTATCTCTTCAGTATTCTTCAAGGTCAAAAGGAGAAGCCATAACCTGGAGGCATCTAGTTGGGAGCTGTTGTTTGATTTGATCCAGCAAAGCAATTCCTGAAGGAACTGAAAGCTCTTTTACATTAAAACACACTGCTGCAAACTTCTCATAGAGACTGAATTGACACCCAAATAGCTTCATAACGTTGGATCCTTTCATGGTGGAAAACAACAAAGGGTCTTGTGTCACCTTAAAGGCTAACAAATTTATTGTGGCATCAGGTTTTATTGACTGCAGTCCAGTTCATTGTCTAAGTCACTTTGAATTAAGTCTTCCCCTTCCCTTCATTGAGCTTTGTTGCCTATTGTCCCAGTATGGAAAAGGAAGTGTAGTAAAATATTGGCTTGGCAATAAAGCATTTTTGGAAATCGTGCTTCCCACTTCTCCTCTTGCTCTCTCCCTTGCTCTTTTCCCTCTTTAAAGGGTTTTACGAACTCTTTTCTTGATTTCAAAAGGAAAACATGTCACTGGGGCTAAAAAGTATGTAATGGCAAGCAAAGTCTGTACATTCAGTAATAATGTAGTTGTGGTCGATATGCTTTCTTTATTCCTCTAAAAACAAAGCCCAGACCATTCCAACTTTTTTCAATATGAATATACCACCCAAATATTTAGTCTTGTATAAGTAAATATCAGACTCTGTAATCATCCATGTTTTACATGTGTGGATAATCTAAACACTTGAACAACACAACTCTTTGATCATCCACGTAGACACTTTGGGAACTGGCACCAGTCACTTGCCATCCACAAGGTCATTTAGTGTTCCCAGGCCAGAACTGATAGCAGCTCAGTACAGTGGGCATTATACTTTCTAACTGCTTTTCAGGGTACTGTTGGGCCTCTTGGTCTCGGTTATAAAAGACGGTCTTCAGGCCATACTCCTATGGAGAACATTTCCAAAAAAGGGAAAAAGGTAGTATTGGGATCCTTTATGTATTTCTTTTCCATCTTGGTCCCACCTAGGTAACAGCCTCTACATACAATAAAAGAAGTAGCACAAATCTGATGCAGGGCTACTAAGTTTTCCCACACGACTGATCTTGACAAGAGCACATGGAAGTGTTCTAGCAATCCCATCTGTCCAACTTGTCCTGGGACATGATGTGGAGACGCACCACATAGAGCTCTGTTAAACTTAGGAGCATCAACCTGTTCATCGCCCTTAACACTTGTAGCTTCTAAGGAAACTGATCTCTCCTTTCATCGCAGGGACCAGAATTCATCCCCTGCAACAATCTCCCATTTCTGTGTTGCTTGTTGATGAAAGAAGCATGTCTTCCCATAACTTGAATCCGGCATCATTTGGACAAAACTTTAAACAAATTGAATCCCAAAAGTGAAATAAAATATAGCTTGATGCCATTCATCTACTGTAGAAATCAATGACCAAAAGTTTTGTTTTTTTGGAGGGCTTCAATAAAAAAAACACCAAAGAGGCAAGAAATCACATGACTCCATTTCTCTTTCCCCCTTTCCATCTGGTCCCCCCCCCCACTTAATTCTGATACAATATTTGGAAATTAAGTCTGCTCCATCCCAAAAAGCCCTCCCCACCCCCAATACAAAACAAATGTGTCAGACTCACTACCTCCATCAGCTTCTGAGTGGATGGACTTCTAAGACTACATAGGAACAGGCTGGGTGGGGAAAGGAAAGCAAGTCAGTTGGGCTTCAACTGTAGAATAACATTGCTCTCCCCAGAGAGAAAGATGAATATCTATGTGCAGTAGAACTCTAGGACAGTGGAATAGATGGTATAATATTTCCAAATAAAAACAAAATATTGTATGTGAATTATTTTTAAGGCAATGCTTAGAACTAGGTTTTTTTTTTCTTTACTTGGGAATGAGATGGACTCAGGCTTTCTTGGGGTAACAATAAGTCGGAAAGATATTGAATGTTGGGCCTTTGAGCCCATTCACTTCTCATTGTTCTTTTGTTGTTTATATCTGTGCCATAAGTTTTTACTAGTTGCTACATATATGTCTCCCCTTTCTTGAATCTGTAGCAGACTGAAAACCTGAAGTGGCACGTTGAAATAATAATGGATTGAATGATGAGGAATTAAAAAGTTGTCTAGATGGAGGTGGGACTCAATAGCTGTGATTATGGTGATGGATGAGTGAAAGAATAGATGAAGGATGAGAGAAGAGAGATTTGGTTTGGAGAAAAAAATGCCTTTGCTAGATAATTACATTGATGTATGGATAAATATGCCTAATAATTGATGGAAAAGGCAGACAGGTGAATGGGCGGAATGAGGGCATGATTATTCTGAAAAATGGGAGATGCATAGCCAGCATCTGTGGTAGAAGGGAAAAGTGTGTGCCCTGGCCTTTCTTGCCACCCCTCTCAGTGCTTTGCAAACTCACAAGCTGTGTCTAAATGTGCGACCTGGTCCAACATCATGCTTACGATCTAACACATATGCTGGGGAGGAGGCAGAGGACTGTGCTGATGGCCAGGCTACAAATTTATTAAGACAACCACCCAGGTGGAAGCAAGGTGATACCAGAGCATAATCAGACACTTGGAGAAACATGAACAGGTATGTACAGTGTTACAAATAGAAAGAACAATCCTTTTGCTCAAGAGACACCAGCGATAGGAGGACACCTTTTCCCCTTTTACTTGCTTTTGATTTCTTGTTGTGCATTGTCTCCTGGACTAAGAAGCATCCTCCTCCTGGGGCATTTGGGTGGGCTCATTTCAGAAACTCTTGACAGTAGAAAGGAGAGGCTGACATTTATAAATAGGGTATTTTTGAGGTACGGGGACAAGGAAGGAAATTAAAACTGATTCTGCTTTGGGAGATGCCCATGATTGACCAGTCCCTAATGGGTGGTTGACTTGTAACCCAGTTGCCCTCCCCCTCCCCTTGCCCTCCCGGCAGTAGATTCAAGCTGCAGACTGTTTGTTTGTTTGTTTGCTTGTTTGCCCCCTCCCCTCCCCAGCAGTATGGATGGTTAAAAGTCTGTGGTGTGGGAGAAGCCAGGCGTCATCTGCAAGGACCCTCACTTTTCTTATCAAAACTTGAGGAGGAAATAAAGAAAGAGTGCGCCTGATAGCCAGAGGCAAGCCATCGCTCTGGAAGCTGCATTGTTGCCATCGTGTACTGCTCCTGGGCCTGGATGAAAAAATAACAAAAGAAAAGAAAAATAGGGAATACATGGTTATTACTGTCATAATCACTGTCACTTGTAAAACTAATGAGCAGAACCCAGTCCCAGGCAACATATACTTAATTGAGTACAGTAGAGTCCTGCTTATCTAACATAAGACCAGCAGAATATTGGATAAGAGAAAATGTTGGATAATAAGGAGGGATGAAGGAAAAGTCAAATTGCATTCTGATTTTACAAATTATTCACCAAAATATGTTTTACAAGAAATTGACAGAAAAATCAGTTCACAGTAACATTATGTAGTAATTACTGTATTTACTAATTTAGCACCAAAACATTGCAATGTATTGAAACAGGTGTGGATCCGGGTGGGAGGCAGACTGCTTTGGATAATAATGAATGCTGGATGAGTGAAAGTTGGAGAAGCAAAACTCTACTGTACTTCATTATGTAATTTCTCCTGGCCCAAGTGTTCCAAAATCTAATAGAAACATCCTTTAACCATGATCATTGGCAGAATAGCCATCTTGCTCCCCATACAGCTGACAACCAATATGTAGTCTAGACGAATGAGAATTGATCATGGCAATAAAATCAAAATTGTGACTTATATACTGATTGTGAATACAAAACAGTAACCTAAACATACTATCTCGGATTCATGATCACTGCTTGTAATTCTGCATGGGGAGAGGGAGGTCCATTCTGTGAATGATCAGAACAAGAGCTTGGTAGGGTCAGTCCAGGAGAAGTTACTTAGCTCCCCGACTATGGAATACATTGCCCGGTGAGATTAGGCGAGCCCCCACTTTAGAAAGTTTTAAGAAGAACCTCAAAACCTGGCTCTTCTGCTGCACTTTTGGAGATTATCCATATAATCTCATATTGCTATTAACTCTCAATATCTGTCTTTAGTGCACATCTCCTCCCCCTCTGTATGAAGGTCCTTTTTGACCCCATTCCAGAAGAGTTTCTTCCTCACAAATAAGCTGCTCCATTGCTGTCTCACCCCATGTTTTTTATCCTTTAGTATTTTATTCTGTACATGTGGCCCACTCACTGTTCTGTGTTATTAATGATTTTATTGTAATTTTATATTGTTTGCTGTATTTTTATGGTTTATGCTTTATGTAATTTATTATGTTGCTGTTTGTGCTTTGATTTCATTTATTGATTGCATTGTTGGGCTTGGCCTCATGTAAGCCACCCCGAGTCCCCATCGGGGAGATGGTGGCGGGGTGCAAATAAAGATTATTATTATTATTATTATTTAAGTAAAAGCTGACAAGCATCTGACCCAAAATTTCTAGTAGTACAACAACTACTACAGCTATTACTACTAAGTTTATTAATAAACAATCTACTCCTTTTAAACAGAATATTAAGGAAGAGGACATGAAATAAGTTTTCAGTGGGATAGGGTGTCAGCCTTGAAGAGATAAGTCTATGGTGACATGGCTCTGGGGGCAGTGGTGGTCCTTAGCTAGTGTCAAGTAAACATCTTCCTCCTTTATGTCTCTCACATAAACTCTCCTCTCCCATATTGCACATATAACACAAAGCTGGGGTGGGGGGGGGATAAGAGTCTTTATTTGCATATTTTTACAGACCCTTTTACATTTTAAAGGAGACATTTGGAAGATTCAGAACAAGCTACTTAAATTGCACTGCCCCCAAGCTATCCTCTCACTTCCAACCACCACAGCAACTGCTAGCAACTAAAGAAGATGGTAAAACCCTTGTGCTGTTTAATTCATTAATTTGCAATTTTACAGCAATGCTGATTGACTGGAGTCCTAGAAATAGAACACATCTGTGCTGAACTCCTCCCATCTGGAACCCTTTATGTAGTAATTGCTCTTAAATGTTTTACACTCTTGGAGTTTTGTTCTCTGGTGAGGGTCTTTTTTTCCACCACTGCCGTCCCCCTAGTCTTGCCTTTCCCTTCCCTCCTGGCTATTTCAGTACATGCAAAGAACTGCTTTCCCTTGTTATTTAACTAGCTGAATGTCACTAGTCTAATTAAAAATTGATAATGACTGCAACACATGGGCAGACTGCAAACAGTGACAAATACTGTGTAGGCCCTGATAACTATATTGCTTTAAAAATACAGTAATGGGGCTTTGATTTGTATTGTTTCCTTTTTAAAAGCTGGATTTGTAATAGACAGATCATGAACAAATAATTATTGTCCCCCTCACTTTATTTGGTCTGAACCTATTAAAAACAACATGACAAAGTCTGACATTCCTATGTAGAGAATGCTAGGCTCATATGGCAAGTGGGGTGGAGGGGAGATACGGGGCTATCCTCCTATGTTCCCCGAGAGGGCACTGCTGCAGTCACTCTGTGTAGGGCTGCAACCAGTGCCCACATGGTATAATGGGGCAGAAGGTAGGGTCACCATTCATGAGAAGCTATGTGGGCCCTCAATACAGAACCAATAAATCTATTTTGTTAGTTATCCTTGCAAGGTCTATGTAAACCTTGTGTCCTTCCGCTAGTTTGTAAGAATGTAAGGGATTATGTTCCATTTACCCAAATGGGTAGAGAAACCAAAGAGGGCACTCCAAGAGCATGCCTCCGGAAAATCCTGCAAATCTCTTGGGAAGACAGGCGGACAAATGTCAGCGTGCTGGAAGAAGCAAAGACCACCAGCATTGAAGTGATGGTCCTCCGCCATCAACTCCGCTGGACCGGCCACGTTGTCCAGATGCCCGACCACCATCTCCCAAAGCAGTTGCTCTACTCCAAACTCAAGAATGGAAAACGGAATGTTGGTGGGCATGAAAAGAGATTTAAAGATGGGCTTAAAGCCAACTTTAAAAACTCCGGCATAGACACTGAGAACTGGGAAGCCCTGTGACTGGAGGTCAGCTGTGACCAGCAGTGCTGCAGAATTTGAAGAGGCATGAATGGAGGGCGAAAGGGAGAAATGTGCCAAGAGGAAGGCGCGTCAAGCCAACCCCAACCGAGACCGCCTTCCACCTGGAAACCAATGCCCTCGCTGCGGATGAAGATGCAGAGCAAGAATAGGGCTCCACAGACAGCCACATACGGACCCACAAGAATACTGGAAGACAATCCTCCTCGGAAAACGAGGGATTGCCTAAGTAAGTAAGTAAAAGTAAGTTCCATTTACCCAAATGGGTAGAGAAACCAAAGAGGGCATTCCAAGAGCATGTCCAAAAAGTATCTAAGTAATCGACTCCAATAATTTTGTTTTGGGAAAGGGTCTCAATTTTAAAAATTGTTTAAAAACTTCAGTCCAAACATATAATATTCAGTGCACTCTGCCCTCCCCTTTTGGATCAATTCAACCCAATATACAGCAATATTATTACAGAAGGAAGTGCCCCCTACACCTTCTAGTCCTCCTTACTCTAACTGTAGTATCTTGCATCCATTATTATTTGAAATATTTACCCATTTTTATAACATGGGTTGGAATTAAGCTATTTTTCAAAAGTTCTTCGTCTGTGAGTCCCGATAGTCCCAGACACCATAGTTCAGTGGTTCTCAACCTGTGGGTCCTCAGATGTTTTGGTCCTCAACTCATGCAGTTGATTGGTTGCATGTGTCTAATCTTCTCAAAACCCTTTTTAATTTAGCTGTCTTTTAAGGAAATAAATTCCAACTTTTTATGGCTTCCCCATTTTCAAGGGCATCTTGGAGATGAGTAGTGGTTCTCAAACTGTGGATCCCCAGATGTTTTGGCCTGCAAATCCCAGATATCCTAACAGCTGGTAAATTGGCTGGGATTTCTGGAAGTTGTAGGACAAAAAACCTGGGGACCCGCAGGTTGGGAACCACTGCCATAGACAGTGGTAAAGAATGCCAGAAGTCACAGTCCAAGAACACTTGAAGAACTATGATTCCCACTCCTGTTTTATGTACTGTTTAGTAACCAGTAAATATAGAGCAAAAATTAAAATTAGGCCAATTAATTGAAACACAGAGTATTTTTTTTTAGTAAGAAGTATTATTGAGATCCAACATCACAGATGTGGTTACAAATAAGCAATGGCATCTTGTATCTCAAGTATCTCCATGAACCTACCTTAACAGCCATCAGCCAATTGAGTAATGGAGGTCTACTAAACAGATAGATGTTTTCTATCCTTCTCATAGGTCCTGCTTCTGATCATCACACTAGAGATCATTGATCGGAGGGATATTGAACCTGACGCTGACTGCCATTGTGCAAAGTGGCTGCTGGGTTCTAAGGTATGTTGGGACAGGGCATTTATTATATTGGCAATAATACCATGATCATAAATATAGAACATGGCTGAGTATGAAACAATTATAATTATGGTTCCGTAACTAGGTTACTGCTCCTGAGTGGCAGTGTAGGATGTGAGGATATGACACTAACCATATGACAAAAGATGGTCTGATATTATCCCATTTGCTATTTACTAAGCCAGACTTTTGAGATATATATATATATATTGCAGTTGTTGGAAAATATTTTACTGTCAGAGGTAAATATTTATCAAAATACTCCATTTCACTACCGAAAGGTAAGATGGAGATATCTGGGAGATTATTTTCACTCAACCATAGCATTTCTGCACATAAATTCTTCACACTGGGATATATCTTTCCCTCTGCCTTGTTTCAAAACTAGCATTCCTTGACAGTTTCTACTGTAGTTTTCAAATGAAATGCTGACAATATAGTGATACACAAAAATACAAACCACAGTATAAAGAACAGCAGTAAAAAAACAGCATATACATTCACAACCAGTTGACTGAAGGCCTCATGCAAACCCATGGTTATGAGGCACAGAGAAGAGCAGAGTGACAGAGGACAAGGGGAACCCAAATAAAGCAAAAGACAAAATGGGGGAGCTGTGGTAGAGAGGAAACAAAATGAAAATTAAACAGGTGCCATGCAGAATCAAGCCCATGAAGAAGGCATCTAAATCTGTTTGGGATTCTGTAACAAACATCTGTGGACATGCAGGGAGCAAAGGGTGTGATTACTCAGC